CCCTTTTTAAGCATGTCAAATCCCTTTAAAATAAGCTCTTTTTGTCTAAATACTGTTTTTCTTATGTCATCAACAGTTCTAGACATTTTAATTGATGGATCTTTAGAAATTACACCAGTGCCACTACAAGGCGCATCTAAAAGAACTCTATCTACTAATCCAAAATTAAGTTTTCTAGCATCTAAATTTGTAACAATTGCATTTGTAACACCCATTCTGAGTAAATTACTTCTTAAAGCTTTTATTCTGTCATCAGAAATATCATTTGAATAAAGTACACCTGTATTATTCATTAATGCACTTATATACTGGCTTTTACCTCCTGGTGCAGCACACATATCAATTATTTTAAGATTTTCTTTAACATCTAAGTTAAGTACGCTAAGCATTGAAGAAGCACCTTGTATTATGTAATATCCAGCAAGATATTCAGGAGTAGCACCAACAGGTACACTACTATTAAAAATAATAAGAGCATCATCACACCATTCGATATTCTCCATATCCATTCCTCTGGATGATAATTTTTGTATTAATTCTTTTTTTCTTGTCATAAGACCATTAACTCTAATTGTAAGAGGCCTTTTCTTTTCAGATTCTTCCATAAAAAGAAGTGCCTCCTTTCTAGGAAACAGTTCTAAAATTACTTCTCTAAGATAATCGTTGTATGAGTTTTCTATCATTGGGGGGTAAATCTAAAAATTTATAATAGTAGATAAATATTGTATTCTACACATTTTTATATTTTTATTACTTCCAGTTATCAATAAAGTATACATCATATCTGTGGTTTATATTTTTATTAAAATTAAATCTATCTTTGCTAAATACACCATCACTTCTATTAAGACAAAAAACCCTAGCAATTCTACCGTGTACTAAAGCCATAGCACATGATAGACATGGTTCATGTAAAATAAATGCATCAAACCCAGTACAAAGATACCCATAGCGTTTTCTACTAACATAATCCACCCCTTTAAAAATTCCATGTCCCAATACATTATCTGTATTGTAAGTAAAACTCAACAATACATCTTCTTTGACTATTAAACATAATCCTTTAGTCTCACTCGTAAACTTTTGTATCCATTTTTTTACATATTCATGTGAAATTTCTTTTTCCTTTTTTTTGTAAAATATACATGGCCATACTTCTTTGTATTTTAGATACTGTTCTTCTGTGTATGCTTGTTTATGCGGAATTTTTATTTTTATAGTCTCAAAATCTGCATGAACAAAGTTTGTTAAAACGTAAAACCAATCTTTAAACAAACATTTAACTCTTTTTAAAAAAGTTGGTATTTTGTGATTTTTAACTTCTTCTAGTGTTTTACTCAAATTCGTTTTATGCACTAATATTGCATATCCAGTAGTAAAAGAAGGTTGTTCATCTTCTAATGTACTTCTTAATTTTTTAATAATCATTGAAGGGCAGTAATACATCTATATCATCAATGTAAAAGAAATGAATAAATTTTAGCGTTTAAAGATTTACTCACTTTAATATGACACCGCTAATGATAACATATGTTTTATTATAAAAGTTTTAATTAACTAAACGTAAAAAAAAACAATAAGTCTTGTAGCAGATAATTTTGAATGAAAAACAAATACTTAAAAATTATATTAATCTTTAATTATAATTTTACAATGCTTTTTTAAAAGTTATATTAAATAATAAACTTGCTTTAGATCATTAATCTAGACAAAATATTAAATTAATCTTGCGTAGATTTAAAAAGCATTCAACACCCATTTTTGCAAATTGCATATTTTATCGCCTCTTTTTAGGTTGTCATACACCAAAATATTTTATATAATTAAACAAAATAATAATAAATCAAGTTTATTTTTCTGTAGTGATAATTATTTCGTTTGAAAAAATATCGCAATTTAAGACATCTTTTAATTCCATTTTTTTTATGACATTACAAATATCATTTATAAAAGTAAGACCGTCAATTCCTGAAATATATTTAGAATATAAAAAGAAACTATAACCATATAAATTTTTATACTTTTCTTTGAAAAGGTCTATTAGAGATTCTTGTCTTTCTAAAAACTCTTGTTCGCTCATATTTTTTATATAATCTTTAGTAAAGGTAATGAATCTTAGTATCCTTTCTTTGATTTCTTCTACATTACGATCACTTTGTACTACAAAGTATAAAAAGTCATCGTCTTTTATAGTATAAATACCAGCACTAACTACATATCCAAATTCTTCTTTTGTACGTAACTGATCAAAAAACATTTCTTCTACTGAATTAACAATAAATGAACCAATCGCTTTCATTCGTAAATCGCAAGATTTATTCAAATAATAAAATATTCCGCACGCATTATTAGAAATATCAAATGTGCGAACCGTAACCACTTTAGAAATCTTATTGTTGGATTGTGGCTCAGATGCATTGACCTGCTGTCTATGTCTTTTTAACGCCTCTTCTACTTTTAGTCCTTCATTAACTTCTATATTTCCTATAATGTATAATTTATAATTAAATTGTTTAACGTTAAGTATTTCTTGACTTTTTATTCCGTCAAGAAGTTCTTCTGGCATTTGATAACCTGGTATATACAATGATTTAAGTTTCCTAAAAAGTCTTTTATAAGACTGTGCAAATTTTTCGCTTATAAGCTTTTTTTCAATTTGTAAATATACTAAATGATACCTGCTTTCGTCTTGGTTATTAAATATAAAATCAATATAAAGTGTACAAACAT